GATAAATTTCCACATTATGAACAAGAGCTTCGAGCAATTTTAGGTAATATTTTTATTAGACTCTCATTAATCAATTAATTATCCATTTTCTCTTCTGGATTTAGTTGATCAAATGGATGATGCTGATGTGTTAGAATCAATGTTAAATGATTTATTTAAACAATGTAAAAATGATATTTTACGTAAAATTGGCTATGATATTCAATTAAAATATGAACTAGCTAAAGTATATTGTATATTATTTTCAGATGCTGCTTTAGAATTAGAAGAATGGTTTGCATGTATTTTAAATGAATTAGATATCCTTGAACACCAACCACAATTAAATGGTCATATTGATAATAAACTAAATGATTTAACAAAAGAAATAAATGAACATGGACAATTTATTGATAAATTAGCACGAAATAGTTTATTATTTAGTAACTATTTAGTAGTATTTTAGTAAAGTATGTAATACAACATCAAAACTAAACAATGATGAAACAAAACGTATACAACAAACTATTGAACAAGCACTCGAAGAATATTCAAATGCTAAAGATGCAATTAATATTAAATTAATTAAATTAAGACAAAATTTAAAATTTAAAACTTAAAAGAATTTGAACAACAAATTGAAGAAATAAATAATTCTATACAAGAATTAATAGAATTATTAGCCACTCAACAATAAAATACCGTATCAACATTTTATTCAGATAAATTTACGTCACGACGTTCTCGTTTATTATTTTCATTATGAAAAAAAATACAAACCCAATACAAAACCCAACTGCTAGTAGTAAAATTAGTTTATTTTAGCGTCGATAAATTAGCCAACATAAACAAGGTAACATATCTAAAAGAGACACAAGAAATGACAATCAAAGTAACGTTTTAATGAAGTAGAACATTACTTTTTTTTCCGAAAGACTAGAAGAGTATTAACGCATTTATGTAGTTAAGCTTTAAAAGTTTGGGGTTATGATTCCGAGGTATTTACTGTTCGTAATTATTATTTCTGGATCCCCATTGTCGGTCCCATGATTGGTGGTTTGATAGGAGCATGGATCTATTTTGGTTATGGTCAACTAATGAAAATACATCTTGAAGAAGATAATAAACAAATAACTGAAAATAGACAGAGAATTGATGAAGCTAATATGTCACAATCATAGACAACGTTCATCATAGAAAACGTTTGCGTCGTTTTTCTGTTTTTTTTAAATATTCAAGCCGTCAGACGTATTTTGTTAAGTTATAGAATAGAAAGACTGCACATTTTTACGGTGTAGAGCCAGTAAATTAGATAAAACTAAACGTTTGATTACACCAGCAGTTATAATTTATTTCTTAAAATATAAAATCGATGTTTCTACTGCTCATACAGTCATTCTCAAGAACACATACAAATACTACTATACAGAAAATTAGTTATAACAACAGTTTAGATGAAGTAAGTAACTAAGTATACTCAGATACCTTTCGATGTAGAGTGAGATAAAAAAACAAAAAATACGAAATCAAATAAAAAAGTTAAGTGTTCTTGGCCACTGGGCTGTTCATTCACATCCATATACATAGTTAACAACTGTATCAACTATATGAAAAAATTGCTGTCTCATTTTTGCTAAAAAAGACTATAATGGAACAACTAGTTTTTATTGTGCTAATTCGTGGTTTTCGAAAGCCGAAAACTCCATTTTCCAGGAATCTTTCAAGTGAGAGAGACCGAGTAAATGCAGGTAATCAGTATGAAGTGCCAGCCATATGTACACAAAATATTAGGTTGATAGCTGCAATCATTAAAAGAATTGCTTCTGGCCCCATTTTTCTGTCCACTGTGCAGGGGTGGGGTGAATCGCAACGGAAAATGGGAAAAAATTGTTGAAAATTATGGTTTTTCAGATTAGGATTGGAACTTTTTTTAATTTTTGCGTACTGTGGTCCGGTGAATTTTAGAACGTAATCTGTGCGATTGGTAGAGCTCGACGAGTTCTACGTGAGTCAACGGAGATGAGGGTTGGGTCCGGTTATGGAGTGAATCCATTCAGGAAATACTCGAATCCTGACCTAAGATATCGTACATCGGCGGAATACGACGGTTCAAATTCAGTCGTGTTAGCAAACATTTTTCGAGATAAACGATTGACACCACCGCATTAGAGTAAATACGATATATGTATCGTACGTGATATATGAATGGAAGATTTCATCAGGAACCGCTGTTAGATCAATAAATAATTACTAATCAACTAACGGGATATTCATATACAACAAAAAACACGTTTATTTGCTATCACCCCAGGAGAAAAATCTTGAATGCAGATCTTGATAAACCTTTAAAGATTTCCTAACTTTCGTCCCAGAGCTTTCAAGAACTTGTGCAGATTTATCGAAATCTTTCAAGATTCTCAATGGAAAGCAATGCTGCAGATTTTCCACAAGTTTTATATCAGAATCTGCCGTGATAAATCTTGAGCAGATCTTGTCAAGATATTTCAAGAATTCTGAAATGATTAATTTAGTACATAATAATCAGAATCTTCATTAATAGATTTGGGAATTTGAAAGAAAATCTTAAACTTTATTTTCTACTTCGTATTTTCATTTTTTTCAACTGTATCACTACAGTGCAAGCTCTGCACTCTACAGTAGGGTACTTCCGCACAGGTCCGCCCAGTATTACATGAGCTAAACGCCGGGAGGGTTTGACTGTTTGCAATCGATAGCCCTACTAAAGGTGTGTAGGACCTCCTGTCGCCCCATGGAAAAATTATTCCGAACACGGTTTTTCTTCAGCCACAAGTCCTGAATTGAAGCGTTTTTAGGGGTGCCAGAACAGCGAAATCCGACCTTATCTAATACTATCAAACGTTCTTATACTGGAAAGAGCATACAAAGTTGCATATTTCTATCCGCAAATGAGGTTTTCTCCTCTGACATTCCGAAAGAATTTTTGACTGATGGACCTTATCTGTATTAGCAGATATCACTCGTTTTAAAGCGTGTTGGACGAGCTCAAAATCTAACAAAACATAACTTTATTTATATTCAAATGAAAGCGGCTTCCAAGTTTGCTCGTATGACACAACAAAGAAGTCTCTAGCACTTTCTACTTCTTCATGGTAAGCGTAGCCATGAGGCCTACGTTGGCCCTTCCCGGCCTTCTCTGTCGAAAACGGCATGTCATTTCTCCGAGATCTTGTTACTCCACACACCACGCGACTAGTGCTACAAAAGACGCAGGGTATTGGCTTTGGCCAGGTGGTTTTTCATGTCTCGGTTTTCTAGAAATCCCGTCAAAATCCTGTCATCTGGCTAGGGTCAGAAACTGGAAAAAAATACTAAATTACTCATAAAATAACATACTGAATCTGAATTTCCGGTTAGTTTGAAATCGATGTTTATAAGCAACTGAGGGTTTTAACGGGATTTCTAGAAAACCCCCATGAACAAAATGGTGATTGAAAGAATAACATATTTATTGGTCTACCCCATCGATCAACGGAATTTTAGCAGAAGTCCTCTACACTATAGTACTATAATAACTATAAATATAGGCAGAGTTGGCATATTTACATTTTTGTGGAACCTCTGAGTTATGTCATAATCAAACTGATTGCTAATTTTCTTTGTCAGCAAAGATTTTGTTAATTACAGAAAAGTTTTCAAATTTTGTCAAGATCTTGATCAAGATTTTTGCAGGCAGATTCCTCAAAAAACTTGACAAGATCTTGACAAGAATTGTTGAATATTCTTTGAGATCAAGAAACTTGACAGATCTTGTGCAGATATAAACTTTCTGCAAGACATGGGCACCGTACCAGCTATCTGAATGCTGCGTAGAAATTTGACTCAAAGCAATAAATGTGAATAAGCAGCAAGCAAAAGGATCAAACACATATTTAAACAAAACGAGGATACTTGTGAGAAATTCGAAAGAAGAGAAAATTCCATTGGGTCCGGTTATGAACCGTACGTATTCAGTCATGCAGTCACTTGGCTTTTCTGTCAGTGTGAAGCTATTTCATTCGATTACATTACTCGGTTCTCTTTTCCTGAATGAAATGTTTGATTAATTCTTTTTAAAAAACTCTTTTGATCTTTTTTTCTAACAAAATCCTATTTTACTAGAAAAATTAAAAACAATGTTTTCTTAGGACAGATGAGTTTAGGAAAAAATCCCTCTGGTTCTCACCGAAGCAAGAAACCCTATGCATATGGACTCTTTTAAAAAACGCATTTGTGGGTTTTTGCTCAAACAAAGTTAAAAGAAATCCTTTTGATCTGTAAAATACGCTTTTTTGCAGTTTAGGAAAAAATGCTACTGATTGTTTCGTTAGTTAGAAAAAAATCATGTTGGGTTTAGTACCAGTATTCCTAAACCTCTTCGGTTTTTCAAAATACGCTTTTTTTAGAGCAGATAAAAAGCTGAAGTTGTATAACACAGTCTTCGCTTTTCCTAAAAATATTTGCACGATTAAGAGTTCGCACTTAGCTTAATTTGGAATGGAATGATGTGGAATATGTTAAAAAATATTTTACTACCCCAGTGCTACATTTCTGTATAAATAGTCTGAATTCCACATTTAAATTCCCACACGAAGTTAAAAAAGATTCACAGTTACCGTTTTTAGATGTTTTATTATTAACTGTCAATAGAAATGAACGTTAATTAACTACATCCTGGTATCAGAAAACAACAGCAGCACAAACAGTATTAGATTTCAGATCAAATCTTAATAATGCTATCAAAAATAATATTATTAATAACATGACAGATAGTTCTTACTGCAAATAATGGAGTCAGAAATGATGAAGATATTAACCTCTTTAAAACTATACTAACGAATAGCAATTACCCAAAAAATACACATGTAAAAATCGAAAAAACAAATTGAACAGAGAAAAGGAAAAGTAGATTGATTGATTGATTTATATTTTAGTAGCCACAAGTAGATGATAGATAATTTGACAGTCGCTTCGGATGATTCTTTCGTGTGAAGTGCATGTCCATTCACTGCCAGATCGAATGCCTGTAGCGGTAGAGCGACCGCATCTTCGAAAAAAATTAATTAATTTACACATATAGGTCAGCTATTCCTCAACAACTTTACTTTATATTTGCTTCAACTTACAAGAAGATACTCGACTGGAAATATACGCCATATGCTTATTTAATCGTAAGTTTGATTAATTATAGAGAAGAATTTTATTTATTCGATTGTAAATAATCATCTTTAGTCTTATTGGATGGCAATGACTAATTCAATGTACAATTCATTTATTTATGGTTGGATGAACAACAGGTACGCATGTATATCTTTTTAATATATGTTCTAAAAAATGAGGGATAAATAAATGATTACATACATTGTTTTTAATTTAATCATTTTTTTCTGCTAACAATGTATCATTTTCTAGATTCAGAGACGGATTTCGTTGTTGCCCATGTGTAAATTCGAGTGCTGAGTTTTTCAGAATGCAACTTGTATCATATCGAAGTGTTTCAGAACCAACAGCTTTAAGTATAATATCAACAACTCATCGTAAAAGTAAATCAAATCCATGTGAAAAATCACGTAAGGTGTCTTGAAAGTAGTATTTTTTATATCTATACTTATTTATCTTAAAGAAATTGATTTAATGTACAAGTCTATCATCCGATGAAGAGTCAACTATCGAAGAGACGCTTCAAAGATCGAAAGATCAATCTAATGAAACTTCTAATATTGGTGAAGAGTTTTTCTAAGACACCTAGCCTTCTTGTGAGATCGAAATACATTAAATTTCAAATCACATTTAAACATCATATCTTCCGTTTTCTTTATTGCCATTCGGTTTTTTTCTTTTATTGTTGTTGTTTTGTTTTACATTTTTTTGGAGAGAATCAATCGAAACAAATGGTCGACTAGCAGAAGCTTTTCATTGTATAGGTGATTTTCTATCACTTTCTATAATATGTCGTATTCTTCACTTTATTGTAATTCTGGTCAAAGATTACTGGATTGTTCACTTACAATTTAATTTTTTTTAATATTTTCTTCATAAATTTAATTGACATTCTCATGGAACAACGACGAATAAAGAGAGATGTAAACATTTTTATTTAACTCATTATGTATGATATTACAGTTTCACTAAATACTCCTGTCCGTTTTCAATATGAAGAACATCTAACTTACAACTTACAATGCCAAAATAATCAAAAATCGTGTAGTTCACAATCAAAAACTTTTCTATTTAAAGCTCTTAAAGATGATCAAGAGATTCTGATCTGGTCTGTTTGTAGAGCTCGTTGAATTGCATCTGTGAAAAAAATCGTATACTTTTCATTACTTAATTAAAGCTTGTTGTAGTTCTAAAATATTTTCAAGGATGCAACTCGACGAGCTCTGCAAACAGGCCAGATCAGAATCTCTTGATCATTAGATCGATCATGTGTCTCTAGAGATCATTTCAGAAAACTCAATAAACACTCAAACGGGCATCGAGTTCGTGAGTGGCATTAACAATTAGCATAGAAAAACTAGCTTTGAATGGAAAAGTTTTTGATCAACTGAGAAGGCTCATTCGTTAGTAAGACTAAGACTGTACTTTGAAGTTATATTTATAGTGATTGGACTCAGTACTTTAAAATGGACTTTTTAATTAAGACAACGCTATCGATTATTCAGCTAATAAACTGAATATTATTCTGGATCTTCCTCTATTTTTATCAAGAAATATTAATATTACTTGAAAAAATAAGCATTGTGATCCACTGCATTTGTACTCATAATTTCAACAATTAAGTTTTTTACTATAAACAGACCGAATATGTAATTGAAAGATGCTTATACGTGAAAGAGAATAAAATTATAGTGTAATCGCCCAGTAATAAGTTCGAGTGAATCAAAATAAACATCATTTTTCTGACTGTTAATTCCTTAACATTTATTCCATCCACATCACGATCATCTGACTTACCAGTTTTATATTTCTTCTATTAGAAAGAAATGTTTAAGACTTTTAAAAATTAAAATAATTAAAATTTGTATCTCGAATGATGTTTCAAATTTCAAATAAACATCAAAACTCTACTTACTTTGAATAATAATGAATAGTAATAATACTCAAAAGTTTTCTCAAAAATCAAAATGACAATGATAATACTAATATTTTATTCTATATTTTTCTTTACTTTTGTGTTAGTAGCATCATTAATCTTTGACAATAGATCTATTATGCATTTAAACACGACACTTTTCTTTCCTTCTTTTGTATATCATTATGATTCTGTTGAGATTATGCCGCACAAATAATCTATATGATATTTGTATTAGTAATCAACATTTGTCCATGTCACATGAAATAATAGATCTAGCTCGAAGCAGTGTTCATTTTCTTTTTCATTATAATAAAAAAGAATTCTCATAATGACAAATGAGTGGGAAAAAAGAAGAATAAAATTCTATGGAATATTTCAAATGTTTAATTGTTTTGATGATAGAATAACAGATTTAATTTTATTTTTTGAAATAATTGTTAAATATATAAACTCAAAATTATGTGTACAATAAAATAATGTAAAGTTTTCTACACATTTGATCATTTGAAAAATTTGTTATTGTAGAGTATCCATGTATTTTTGTAATCAGATGATCTATGGAGATATCTCTTCATTCAATTTTCAGACCTAAGTTAATTTTGAAAAGGTAACCTTATTTATTGGTGGCAAATAAACTTGAATCAAAATATGTACTTTTTAAAATATGCTAGATTTTCTTGTAAAACCACACCATTTTTGATTTGTACTCCTTTTGACATAATCAAGTGTCAAAAAAAAGTTGACATATTGTGAGACAATCGCCTTACTTTCTTCTAGACGTATAAGAAACATGTGGTTTTGTTTTGTTGTTATGGGTTGAAATGTTCCATAACATTACAACCAATGTATTTCACTCATGCATAAATTAGATAGGAATTTATTTATTTTTAAGCAAGAAAAAAATGTCTACTGTCGACTAATCATCTAACTATCAAAGTATCTTTTTTCCAGAATATTTCTTCTTTAAAGGAAGAAAAAAAGATATATGTAGACGATATTCAGAGAAGTGAATGGATGTATTAAAATCGACTTCAGGTTGAAATAACTAGACTCGTATTACAAAATCACAAAACAATTAATTTTAAGAAATTTTAAGCTTGTTTTTTAGCTCTTAAAACATCGTTGTCGTCGAAAAAAAAAGAACTGGTTTCTCCCTTAGGATATATAGACACCTATTCAATGTGTTGTTTATCCTTGTTGTTTTATTCTAGTCAGTGGTGAAGTGAAATATACTACTCTAAGTCGAAGACGAACAAAATAAATTCTAGTATACCAGGCAAACATCAACATATCGTTTTCCTTAATCCTACCAAAGATCAGAGTGACATGAGTGCTGATGATAAAGTAACTAGTGTTTATGTGAGTCTGGTATGCAAAAGTTCTACGGCACCGGCCGAAACAATTTATTACGATGTGATGGATAAGAAAGAAAAAAGTATAAGAACACGTTGATAATCTTATTTTGCAACTGTATATCGAACATCAGTAACGTCATCTATTAATTTATTAAAGATTAATAAAAAAAGTATACACGGTTATTCCTCTAGCTAAAAAATCAGAATCGAGAACCCTGAAATAAGTTAGAGATAGAGAAAAATAAGCTTTAGTGAAAAAATTTTGTTTTTAAAATTAGTCATTTTTCAAATGGTAGGCTTCTGAAAAATGCAGTTCCCGGTCGAAAACGTTTAGAGACATCTGATTTTGTTCATTTTTTGATGGACTTTGGAATGAGACGTCATTCGAATAGAACGGATAAAATTTGACGAACTTATAGGCAAAAAACCACGGAGGGTGCTTTTTTGGAAATCTTCGATACACCTAATATGTATATTTCTAAAGCATACCATTGCATAGCCCTTGAAATTCTCTACAACGTAGACTGGCTTAGATTCTCTACAACGTGAGTGGGTTAGAATATCCAGACAGGTGGAGCCAGTCTACGTTGTAGAGAATTTCAAGGGCTATGCAATGGTATGCTTTAGAAATATACATATTAGGTGTATCGAAGATTTCCAAAAAAGCGCCCTCCGTGGTTTTTTGCCTATAAGTTCGTCAAATTTTATCCGTTCTATTCGAATGACGTCTCATTCCAAAGTCCATCAAAAAATGAACAAAATCAGATGTCTCTAAACGTTTTCGATCGGGAACTGCATTTTTCAGAAGCCTACCATTTGAAAAATGACTAATTTTAAAAACAAAATTTTTTCACTAAAGCTTATTTTTCTCTATCCAGTAGATTTCCCGCAAAATGTAAGTCAGTGCGTTTTGTAGAGCGCACAATTCTCTATATAATGAGCTATAAAACTTCTTTCACAACCTCAAGAACATGTTGAAAAATTGCTTGCAATTATTACCATCGAAGTAATTATACTATCATTTTCTTTAAAAGTGAAATCTTCAATGAAAACAAACGCACGTTTTATATTAAATCAAGTACGCTGATGAAGGTACAAGTGGTTATCGACAGACATATTATAAATATTTCAATATTTTATTTGACACCAGTACGTTTCCTCGATGACGAACGTTTTTTAGTCGGACGTTGATCCAGCTCTATTATCGGATGACACTGCGTATTCCTTTCCGAAAAAGTTCTGGAGTAGGGTTTGAAGAACATGATATACGATTACATAGGACATGGAACGTCGGCGATGATAAATTAATTAACTGGCGATTATTGGATACACCGAAAGCTATAGGTCATCTACAATGTCAATCAAGTTCCTCTAAGCCACAATGGTCGTCCATTACCCCAGTTTCTAAAGAACGTAAAGCTCTGTCCGACCGTTGCTCGATTACTACAACAACTACAGTCGAATCAGCGGCTCAAGCTAATAGAAGTAAGCTGTATGACTGTCCCGAAGAGGGATGTGTAGTTTCGTTTATCAGATACGTAAATTTAACGCAACATACGATACGATTTATACTTGAGAGTAGTAAAAAATATTCTTGTTCTTCGGAAGATTTGTAGAAAACCTGACGAAATTATGACATAATTTCGATGGATTTTGACTAGAATATGACTTTTTAATTATACTCGAAAATAGGCAGAAATGGGTTGGAAGAAATGGAACTCTGATTCTTGTGTCCTGCGATCGGCCTCGATTTGTACTACAGAAGAACGGATCGCTTTTTTTAAATTTGTTTTGTCCCTGAGAAAGTACAGTTTTTGTACATACTGTGCACAATCTGAGGAATGAGTGGGTGAAAAAACTCTGATTAAGCCATTCGAAACAGGGTTGGTCATGTCAATATTTCGATTAAAAGATGGGTCAAGTTCTTCCATCTAACTTCCAGACTATATTTATCTTACTTAGTTTTTGGGCCAATTTTGAATGGCTTAATCAGTGTTTTTTTCACCCACTCATTCCTCAGATTGTGCAGTCAAACTGAAGAGCACGGCAGTTTTGGCTTAAAGTCCCGTTCTCGCCCCAAAGAAAATAACTTCTTAAAATTATTTTTAACCAAAATGTAGCTCGCGTTTTCCTCTATCGACTGATGTACTTTTCGAACTTTGTCGGTACTTATACAACGTAAAAAAGATTTTTACCAGTTGTATGGAAAATTTTTGCCGACTGATAAAAAGGTTCATTTTTCAGTCTAATGCACCTACAAAGAACAACAATGAATATTTCTAACTTCTTTTATCTTAAAATACACTAGAGAGAGCGGACAATATTTTGATGCAAACCGCGCTTGTCAAAAGGTTTTTTTCGTTACCGAGTTCAAAAAGAAAAAGAATTTAGGGATATAGGGAAAACGTTTGCCGCCACTGTAGTGTTCCGAAATCAATATGTGCAAATTATTTACACAACTCGAAACAAAAATGCTTATTCATATCTGTAATTCAGAAAAACTGTGATCACCATCATATTTTACTTCTATCCATTTTAAAAGAGAAAGTCTCTGTGTATTTTTCTGTTAATGTTTATGAATAGAAGAGATAAAATCTTACGCTTTTCTCCATTCAGTAGTCAAGCTCATAATTTATCAACTTCTCGAAATAGAATTCAAAATCTTTCTTAACCTTAAGCTTTCGAAAAGCGATTGAAAACTTTAAACGATTCCTATTTCTTGGATCATATTTACGAAAAACATCAGTTAGTATTCGACAAAGTGCTCACTGTGCCAATGATTACAGTATATTTAATGACGAAAACTTGCAGATTGAACAATTTAAATGTATGAGGATAATTGAGAATGAATAAATTTTTTTCTAATTCTCACCGAATGAACATAAGGACTCTAAAAGCATCCAAACTCTAAATGTTTTGTAGTATAGTAGGATAAAAATCTGGTATAAGAACTTTGATTGTTAATGCGGTATTAGGTTATGTTGGACCTATAAGTTCGATCTGTGGTCGGAGTATCTTCTAATTCTCGTAAGCTTTAGTTCTTTCGTTTTGTATTTTTCATCTCATTAGGAAGAGAAGAACGGTAGAAAAGATGGTTAACATAAATCTTTTAATAACACTTTTTTTTAGAAATTTCATCATCTTCACGCTGCTCAAGTAGGAGTACATTTAGAAAAATTGAATATTTCTATGATCATAAAATATTTTTTGCATAGCATCAAGATGGCACTATCTAAATTCTGCAGTAAAGGTTCCAAAATTGCCAGAGTCAAAACAGCAATATGCTAATGCAGTAGGTGAAAAGATGTCAAGTTCCTCTGGTGTCACTAGAAGTAAGAAACCGAGAGAAACCCGATATTAAACGTAGCCCAATAATAAACGCGCCATTATTCCTGCCAAAAATGCGACAAGTGATTCGAATAAAGAGATACTTTGCCGCCCGTACATTCATTCAATAAGCTATTCAGAAAACAAATTTGGACCGATTCTATTCAGCGTACAAAAAGCCGATTTTGCGATAATGAGGAACTGTCAGTTACTATATCCCTTGTGAATAACTAAAACCTGTATCTGCAGATGATCATTTTGCACCAAGTTTTCTCCTACTGGCCACTCAAGTGAAAATGTTATTTTTGACCATCTCCTACGCCTCTATGTTCTGCGGTACACGTTAACTTGAGTAGTAAACGCTTCAGTCGATCTGGCAATGTCAGGGTCTTCGCTTGATGTCCTGTCGATTAGCATAAGCTAATAATGTTCAGCTTTATCATAGTCTGTCATTCTCCGCAACAAACAACTTAGACTGTTTAGTTCGGACTTCGTCTAGACTTCGTTTTGTATTTGTCCTGTCAGGTTCCTAAGGTCTTGGCCTTCCTCTCCATTCAGAATGAGCTTCACATTCCAAATATAACTTCACATTTCACACTTGCATTTCACTCAATTTCACATTGAGCAGAATTATGTGCTCAAGTCATACAATAGTCTCACCACCAAACAAACAATAAAATAATTATACACTCTGATATATTGAGGTTACTTCTGCTAACTGCTGTTGACCGCTCAAGACATGCGGATGTGTGCTGGGTAAA